CTAATAAGGACGAAAATGGATGATTAAAGAAACGCATATTTTTACTCTTTAGGTAAAGCAAACATATGTCTTCTCTTGTCTACAGATGTCATTAACTTCGTGCATGCTGATTACGTATGTATGTATGTACGTTTATACATATATTTATGTGTGTGTGTGTGAGTGTGTGTGTGTGTTTGCGAGTTTGGACACGCGATATTATGTTTAAAAAAAAAAGACATTAAATGTAATCCTGTATAGAAAGAATATTTTATTCAATTACATGATTGTTTCCCCTGCTTAAATTTCTGTTGTCACTACCACTACATTTGTCTTTGTAAAACTTTGAATACGATTATCTCTCTTTATCTCTCTCTCTCTCTCTCTCTCTCTCTCTCTCTCTCTCTCTCTCTCTCTCTCTCTCTCTCTCTCTCTCTCTTTCTCTAAATTTCGTCTAAATTCTCTCTTCCTTGCGAACTGCCCAAAATTATGAGTAATTCCTATACGAGGGTGTAATAAAAGACAGATGTAGAAAATTCAGTTAAAAAAAATGAAATTAAATGAAAGCCGTGTTTTCAGTTTTAAATGTGAACAAACAAAACACAAACGACATATTGCTCAATTTCCTGCCTGGCAAAACTGACTAGCCAAATGTTGCATTTGAGTCGGGTATTGTGTGTGTTTGTCAGCGCTGGTGGCTTTGAGTTGTGAACTCAGTTTATAATTCTGACTTGTTGGGTTCCAGCTGCAGACAGTTTTTGAGCAAACCGCTTTGCGCTGATTTCGACAAAAATATCAAGAGCCGACTTTTGAAAGCAATGGTAAACTCATCACATTATCATTAGTCAGCGGGTCTCTTCATAATGTACTTCTCTTCACTGCACGCCTGAAAGTACTTCTCTTCACTGCCTTCCTGAAAGTACTTATCTTCACTGAACGCCTGAAAGTACTTCTATTGACTGCCTGCCTGAAAGTACTTCTCTTCACTGCACGCCTGAAAGTACTTCTCTTCACTGCCTGCCTGAAAGTACTTCTCTTTACTGCACGCCTGAAAGTACTTCCCTTCACTGCACTCCTGAAAGTACTTCTCTTTACTGCACGCCTGAAAGTACTTCTCTTCACTGCAAGCCTGAAAGTACTTCACTTCACTGCCTGTCTGAAAGTACTTCTCTTTACTGCACGCCTGAAAGTACTTCTCTTCACTGCTCGCCTGAAAGTACTTCTCTTCACAACACGCCTGAAAATACTTATCTTCACTGCACGCCTGAAAGTACTTCTCTTCACTGCACGCCTGAAAGTACTTCCCTTCACTGCACTCCTGAAAGTACTTCTCTTTACTGCACGCCTGAAAGTACTTCTCTTCACTGCAAGCCTGAAAGTACTTCACTTCACTGCCTGTCTGAAAGTACTTCTCTTTACTGCACGCCTGAAAGTACTTCTCTTCACTGCTCGCCTGAAAGTACTTCTCTTCACAACACGCCTGAAAGTACTTATCTTCACTGCACGCCTGAAAGTACTTATCTTCACTGCACGCCTGAAAGTACTTCTCTTCACTGCACGCCTGAAAGTACTTCTCTTCACTGCACGCCTGAAAGTCTCACTGTCTCTAACCCAGTCTCCAGCCCCTGCTTTTATAACCAATGCTTCTACAACGTCATGTATTCACTTTCGTGAAAGATCGTTTTATGGAAAATGCACCTTCCGTCAACTTTCTGCCGGACCATTATGGCGCTTGATAAGTCCAACATATCTCAGCTTTCTAGAGAGGATGCTGTTTACGAGCCAGTTCTCCTTGATGTTTTTCAGGTCATACAGGGTGTCGACGTTTTTCTTCTTCGTTTACTACTGAACCATCACTGAATGTAAAATTGGCTAGTTCCTCTTCTTCTTCTTTATTCTTCTTCACGTTCACCGGCTGTAAACACCTGCGGAAAGTTCTGTTTGTTAGTCCCCTTGTTTCAGAACCTGAGTGTTGCGTGTGCATCCGTTTGACAGATCTCAGTGTTGGTTCCTTGCCTCTCAGGCAGGTGCACTTTGACTTCAAAGGAAGCTCCTAATTAGTCGACTCTTACGACATGCTTTTGGGTAGGCAGTAGGTCTGTCCTTGTTCTCCCTATAATAGGGCCTCAGAACCCACATGGGGAAAATTGGCTAGTAAAGTCATAAACAGCCCAAATGTGCTGTGGTTAGCTTGTAATGATCTATAAAGAATATATTATACCTGCCAATAAACTGTACAATAGGTTATGTTCTGTTTGATTATGACAATCGACGTCTTTGCATACCAAGCATTCTCATACGTGCTCAGTCCTCCGATGCAGCAGCCACTCCAAAGTAATTTTAGTGATGTCCCCATGAGAAGTTGGTTATAGTATCTCCTGTCTATACCTCGAAGACAGCATAGACGTGCTTTGCTAAGCTTAACATTCGTTCTTCGGTCACGCAATCATGTTACCCTTAGATATTCAACATTATCCCCCAACCTAGTCCGTAGAGCGTTGGTGATATCAGCTCTTTCTAATACTTCTTCCCGTTTGTATTGGTGCATTACTTCCCACCTGGTCAGCTCTTTCATTGCCATTTAAAATGTGCAATAAATTGTTTGCATCTTATTTGCCCAAATAAACAAAACAGCACATTTAGAGAAAAATACATTTTAGAACCACACTTACAGACTGCATACAATGATATGTGATTCTACATAGATGTTTAAATAATAATGGCGACATTGATGTATCAGTAAAAATACTTATATACTTTTATGAACACAGCTCAGTTAATTATTTTTCGAGGGAAACGGACAGCAGCGATGCCATCAGTTGAATTGAGTTAAGAATCGACATCACAGCACTCAGCACATTCCATGAACGCACAACCTCCATCTTTAGCAGCCAGCAGATAGTTCCAGTTCATATTGTGCTATCAGTAGTCGGATTATGACTGCCTTTCCTTTCCCCTGAGTTTTGAGTGTCGGCCGCATTCCCTGGGCATTCCAGGTTGCACCATTGTCTTCAGATCGTGATTTACTTGTACCTCCGCCCTGTTCACTTACACCCATGACCACATCTAGCCTGTCATGCATCAATGTATCAACACATGGCGTAGAACCAGCGAGTCTGTCTGCCTGTTAATTTCCCAACACATCTAAAGACCATGGAGAAGCGTGGGATCGTCACTGTCGTGCGAAGAGCATATCGTGTAGTCGATTAGGACGATAAGGCTAATTTTCTATACATAATAGTATACAAATAGTTCTTTTGAAAGATGCTTTATAAAAAAAACATATACAGCAGGTGCTTTAAAGAACGGTACTCTTTTCACGGCACGCCTGACAGTCTCTCTAAAATATTGGACTGTCTTTTTGGGGTGACTTATGACGAAAGCACCTGTTTTTCTTCTCGGTCCAGGATACCCTTAGAATATTTCTTAATTTCAGTTTACAAGCTCCGATTTTCTCATCAAAGACTAAGGAGAGTCCATGCCTCATATTCATAAATGTCCACGGAACAGGTGCATGATCACGACATGTTCACTTGAACTTGCTTGCAGGTGCTGTGTATACATCAGTAGTTTAACTATTATTGCTCATTGTTTCTTTTCCCACATTTAACCTGCACTGGAGCATTACATCAAAGTAAGATTTGTTAAATGGATGTACACGTACAATTCAAGCTCTGAAACAAGGCCGAAGTCCAAAAGTGGACGAACAACCAAAATTGTACTCTAGAGCTTATAACCCGTGAACGCTAAGAAGAAAAAGCAACAGAAGAAGAAGAAGAAGAAGAAGAAGAAGAAGAAGAAGAAGAAGAAGAAGAAGAAGAAGAAGAAGAAGAAGAAGAAGAAGAAGAAGAAGAAGAAGAAGAAGAAGAAGAAGAAGAAGAAGAAGAAGAAGAAGAAGAAGAAGAAGAAGAAGAAGAAGAAGAAGAAGAAGAAAAAGAAGAAGAAGAAGAAGAAGAAGAAGAAGAAGAAGAAGAAGAAAAAAAAAAAGAAGAAGAAGAAGAAGAAGAAGAAGAAGAAGAAGAAGAAGAAGAAGAAGAAGAAGAAGAAGAAGAAGAAGAAGAAGAAGAAGAAGAAAAAGAAGAAGAAGAAGAGGAGGAGGAAAAAGAAGTATATACAGCTGTTAGTGCGTACACAAGTACATTCAGCAAAAGTGCTTTCGTCATTTTGAGGTAAGATAAATCTCCCTATGTGCCGTTAGTAAAAATATTTCCATTGTCTATTGTGTCCTTATGTCACATCATCTTTCTTTTGCATCCATGACTGCAGTTCAGTATAGTTCCATGAAAGACAAGTATCTGTCGGCACAGAAGCATATAACTTGAAAGTGTTCTGTTTCATTTTCGAACAGATACTTGTTTTATTTATAGTCTTTTACGGAAAGCTTTATACTATAGGAATCATTGTCTGTCTCTCTCTATCCCCTCTCCCCCCCCCCCTTTTCCTTCTCTTTTTTCCCGTCGCCTTTCACCAGGAGAGTCTGGAACTACGTCGTACAGGAAAGATTTGAATGTTGAGGTAGATGATTAGAAAAAAAAAGGATCTGGTTGTGTACATGAGGCCCTAATGCTCTTGAGGTCCAAGCAGATCCGTCCTAATATCATTATGTAGCCCAGGTGCACAGGTGCAAACTAGTGTTGTGGGGCCCCTACAACTACCATTCACATAAATGAAATGTAAATGGTTACTTGACATTCACAGATTAGCGTGGGGCCCCTATGTCCGTGGGGCCCCGGCAAGAGCCCAGCAGGCCCATGTGTGAAGACAGCCCTGGGCCTAGCTCACCAGCCCAGCATTAAAACTGTACTGGCCACAAAATATTTACTTTTCTTTGTTTGCTTGACTTGCGCCAAAAGCAGTTCTTTCTGTTCATTTTACAAATCCGGACACAATTTTCGGACATTCAGAAATAATAAGTTTGTGATGTACAGTTTAAACTAAACGACAATTATAATAAATATGGAACAGTGTCTTGATTTTATGAGATCCTTAAGTTGACCAAAACCAAAAGCAGCACAATTTTGTCAGGAAGAGCTGGGAGTTTGAGGTGTGTCTCCCTTGCAAGTGTGAAGCTCTACCCACTGTTGGCAGTCCTTGCAGTTGACATAGCAGCACCAGTGGAACTTGCATTCGCATTTGTACTGTTGCTTGACCACTCTTGTATGGTAGCCGCGTCCGCAGCACATGATGTCACAGCCGTCTGTTCCCATAGAGGATTTGTCGCAAGTACGTCCTTCGGTGCCGAGGGAACCTGCAATGTAGCATGGAAATGATTTTTCAATAAAGTGCATAAAAATAGACTCGTCAGATGCATTACTTTTGGCAAAGACTGTTTAAGGCGATCTCGGATGTGGTGAATTTTTATTGTGAAGAACTAATTTTTTTTTTATCCCTTGCAATTTTGTTGTTGCTTGAACTCTTATCTGGATAAGAAAAATTTATGATAAAAAAAAATTAAATTTCTTGGGTCCCCGGCGAGTTATCCTTTTCAGGTTTGCACTGTAATCTTATTTTGATGGGTGTGAACTGACAGTGCGAAAGCAAGAATTGTTAGTACAATCCAAATTTACAACTGTATATATGCGTGCGTCTGCGTCTGTGACTAAAGCGTAGCGCACGAGCTTCGTTATGCCAGTGTGCCGGGTTCGACCCCAACTGCGGGCCCTGCGCCTTGCGCTGGTTTCACAGTGGTATCGAGAAACCGACCGTCCAGAAAGCAATGCCTAGACAAACCACAACAGCCAATGCTGGGGTTGGTTCTGCGATATTTCTGCGCTACGTATTCTGCGTGCCTGACCTCTGGACTGTTACTGTTGTTTCTGTATAACACTGGTCTTTGTGGTGCCCTGTCTCGTACCAATCCTTTTACATGACCGAACCATTTGGTTTGCTGTCTACCTTTAAAGTTCAGTATTGGTTCTGTCCCGACTCTCCTCCTGAAATCATCGTTCTTAAGTCGATCTTCCTTTGCTACACCTAGCAAAGTACGTAAACATTTTATTTCTGTCGTGACTATTTTCCTTCTATCTTCTAAAGACATTGTCCATGTTTGACATTGATAGCAAAGCGCTGGTTAGAATATTGTGTTGAACAGTGTTCTTTTAGTGTTCATATTCACATGCTTGCATTTCAAAAGTAGTACTATGGGGCCCGGAATCCACACGGGGGATGACACCACTGATATATTAGAAATATCACTGCAGACATCCTTTATGGGGAATTAAAGACGGGCAGATGATGTCATGCTGCGAGATAAAGATGTGTGCAAGCAGGACATGAATGATACAGGTACTGAGGTGAACTCGTAGAGGGAAAAAAATGCCCTGGACCGTGTTGTGTGGAGGGGACACATCAGGAAGGGAATGAAGAAGAACGAAGAAATGATTGCAGAAAGGATGAGAGCCGAGCTTTTAAGAAGAAAGAGACTAAACACAAATCTTCACAACAATGTTCCTGAAATCCCATTCGTTAACTGTGGAAGACTGTTCCTAATGCGTGCGGGTCTTGCTAGTCACTAAATCGCCACGAGCTGTGAGTCCCATTCCTCTTCATAGCGCAATAGAAAACTATCGTCTGGAAATACGGAAAAGTGCCAGTGATAGAACCATCGCAAATATCTTTATAGACAAAATATCATTCGAAGGGTGAAGTGGTCAACACCACATCGTTTGTCTTCGTTTAGTAACTATTTGAGATCTTTATTAAGACATTTTTCACACCATTATTACTGCAAATTATGGTAAGACAGACAATTTTTCGTAGATCAAATATATTTCGACCCGCTATGTGGTACTCTCGCTGGCACCTGTTCTCTTCATTTTCTAGAAAATGTCATCTTTCTCATTCTAGGTTTGATCTCAGAAGGCGATTCACCAACTCTCCGATGGTCACGCTCCAGGCTATCATTCCATCCTTGGAGAGGCATACAAAGCTGGTAAGAAAATCCGCACAAAGAAACGTCATGGGATTTTCTAGCAAATTTGGCAGAAAAAAGTCATCCATGAGAACACAAGGGTGCATTTATTTAAGAATACATCTCTACACGTGGACACGGAATAACCAGTACTGCAGAAATCAACAGGGCATCTGCCTACAATCAATAGCAGGGAAAATTCTTATGAGAATGATACTTGCAAGAATACTCCTAAATCGTCTTACGACACATCTTGAGGAAGGCTGTTACTTGAAAGCTGGTGTGGATTCCAGAAAGAGTGTGGAATCGCAGGCATGGTTTTCGTCACAAGAAAAATGCTAGGAACAGCAATGTGATTTGTTTACAGCTTTCATTGACCTGATAAAAGAGTTCGACTCGGTCAACAGGGGTATCTGCAAAATGCGACTCTCAAAGAAATGGATCGCGACTGTGGAGCAACTGCATGGTCGAATGCAAGCTAGAATCTAGGATAATGGAGAAGTATCTAAACCTTTCTGTGTCATAAATGGTGTGAAACAAGGGTGTGTGCTAGCACCTAACTCAAGCAGTATTATGTTCTCAGCTTTGCTGTCTGACGCCTTTCGTGAAGGAGATATAGGAATTATTTATAACAGCTGCCGCATCGATGGAAAACTCTTCAACCTTAGGCAGCTTAAAGCGAAAACCAAAGTTAAATCATATATTGCTAGAGTTTTTCTGTTCGCTGACGACTTCGTTCTTAATGCTGGTTCAGAAGTGGATTTGCAGTACAACATGGATAGATTATATGAGGCTTGTACCAACTTTGGGCTTACCATCAACACGGAAAAAAACTTGAAATCATGCACCAACCGGCACCAGGCCAAGTATGTAGTGAGCTGACCATTTTGGCAAGGAATTAAGTGTTGTGAATATATTCACGTAAATTGGTAGTACACTCTCTCATAACGTCACCATCGACGATGAGGTAAACACCAGGACCTCCAAAACCAGCTGGACATTTGGCAGACTATACACCAATGCCTGGCAATGAAGTGGTATCAGTGCTGCTGTACGCTTGTGAAACATGAAATACACGGACATCAGGCAAAGAAGCTCAGCCATTTCCATACAGTCTGTCAAAGACAAAATCTGAAAATCGTGTCACAAGAAGGGTCCCGGATAGTGTCACAATGGATAGAACTGACATGTTCAGCATCGATACCGTCCTGATGCAGTCACAGATTCGATGGACAGGTCACGCCGTCCGCTTGCCAAACCATCGGCTGCCCAAAATAATTGTGTGTGGTGAGATACAGAAAGATAGACGCTCCCATGGTGGCCAGAAAGAAAAAAAGCCACACACACACGACTCAAGGACACGTTAAAGACATGATTTCAAGGCTTAAATATAAATGACCATTAGGAGGCTGCTGCACAAGACCAGATAATATAAAATTAATATTAAAATCTAAAAAACGATACTCCCGGCGATATGGTCCTACCTAATCCATAAAATAGCAGCGATTTTCGATGCATCTAGAAGAGGGGCAGCTTTTTTCATTTCCTCTTATGCCACGTTTGATGTCGAGGGTGATTTAACATTTTGGTTCTTGATTTTTATGTTGTTTTTCGTCTACCTAGTGCTCTGTTCCTACTCCTCTTCTAGTGTATAATTTCTATGGAGCCGCGACACAGTGCATTCTTTCTAAGTTGGCACATAATTTGTTTTTGTTTTTTTATGTTTGTATATAGAGCTGGTTCTGAGCCAATGTATTTTTCTATGACCACATTGTTTACTACATTTAAAACTTTAAATACACCTTTTTCTCCTTCTTCTTCATCGTCCTCTTCATCTTCTTCTTCTTCCTCTTCTTTTCTTCTTCTTCTTTTTCTTCTTCTTCTTCTTCTTCTTCTTCTTCTTCTTCTTCTTCTTCTTCTTCTTCTTCTTCTTCTTCTTCTTCTTATTCTTCTTCTTCTTTTTCTTCTTCTTCTTCTTCTTCTTCTTCTTCTTCTTCTTCTTCTTCTTCTTCTTCTTCTTCTTCTTCTTCTTCTTCTTCTTCTTCTTCTTCTTCTTCTTCTTCTTCTTCTTCTTCTTCTTCTTCTTCTCCTTCTTCTCCTTCTTCCTTTTCTTCTTCTTCTTCTTCTTCTTCTTCTTCTTCTTCTTCTTCTTCTTCTTCTTCTTCTTCTTCTTCTTCTTCTTCTTCTTCTTCTTCTTCTTCTTCTTCTTCTTCTTCTCTTCTTCTTTCTTCTTCTTCTTCTTCTTTCTTCTTCTTTCTTCTTCTTTCTTCTTCTTCTTTCTTCTTCTTTCTTCTTCTTTCTTCTTCCTTCTTCTTCTTCCTCTTCTTCTTCCTCTTCTTCTTCTTCTTCTTTCTTTCTTCTTCTTTTTCTTTCTTTTTCTTCTTTCTTTTTCTTTTTCTTCTTTCTTTTTCTTCTTCTTCTTCTTCTTCTTCTTCTTCTTCTTCTTCTTCTTTCTTCTTCTTTCTTCTTCTTCTTCTTCTTCTTCTTCTTCTTCTTCTTCTTTTTTTTCTTCTTCTTCTTCTTCTTCTTCTTCTTCTTTTTCTTCTTTTTCTTCTTTTTCTTCTTGCTCATCGTCATCTTTTTCACTCCTCCTCGTTCTCCCACTTATTTTATTTTTTCTCCCCCCTCAATGACCCCCGCTCCCCCTTTCTCCAAGTCTTCCTTTTGTCTGCATGCCTATTTCGGAAACAGACTGACTGCTGACGAGTAGATATCAGAAATAATTGAACCCAAGAAAAAATGCAAGCGCAAACCCCGGATCTTCTCATTACTTATCAAATAAAAGTACAAAATATGCAGGAAGCTGGTAGATTCTTTAGAAGTAAGAACGAGACTGGTTGCAATGAAAACACACTATGGCGACTGTGACCAGCACTTAACCAGATCGCAAACTGATAATAAGACCTTTTCCCGGATAGCGGGACGCTGAAGGTTAGTCCTGAATGTAATGCTGATAATCTATAGGGAAAAAAACGTGAGTAAATTAGTTCACAATCACCGTGCGCGTATTCAACCCGTCTCGTTCATTTATTTGTATTTTACATTCTGCAGATAAATTGTATATGTATGTTACGGTGACAAGTATATCATACACACAATTATAATATCGGCTGACGCTTTGAACATATCCCTCAAGCTAAAGTGTAGAAAACCATGATTAAATAATTAAATATTAAGTAGTTGTCGGATTAGGTTAAGCGTACTACAGACGCCTGTGCCGTGAAATGATCGTTCGCAAACACAACTTCACAAAGGTGGGCTTTCAACGCCCAGTCCTTTTGTGAACTGGCCACAATCACTCTTTTGGGAATGCAAGGCGCGTTTAATTATGCAATTTT